TGCACTTACCGTAAATGCAAAAGAAATAGATAGCAGTTACATAGAACAAGGGGTCAGGTTTCAGCGAGGCCAATGTCACAATCCTGTAACTCTCTTATTAAAGAAAGGGCACCTGCCAGTGCTGCCAAAGAGCATGGTCACCTGTTTCTTCATTTTGCCCCACAAGAATCCCGACAGGCAGGCTGTTACCTCCTCACTTTACAGGTGAGGAGTGGAAGCACAGAGAGCCCAAATAACTGAAGGAAGGGCACAACTCCCATATGTGCTCTTTCCACAAAACTGTGATGCCTCCTTTAAAAAGATAAAAGGAGAGCTCTTTCCACCTTCTTGGTTCCCTATGGAGGCCTGTTGGAAACAGGACTACTAAACTATGGCGGGAAGGCTATGGTCCAAAGCCATTTTTGCTGGCTACAAGCAGGGTCTCCAGAACCAGAGGGAGCATACAGTTCTTAAAATTGAAGGTGTTTATGCTCAAGAGGAAACAGAACTCTAAGTAAGAGGTGTGCTTATGTGTACAAAGCAAAGAACAACACAGTGACTCCTAGTGGCAAACCAAATAAAACTAGAGGAATCTGAGGGAAAGTAACATGTGCCCGTGGAAACAGTGGCATGGTTCAGGGAAAATTCCGAAGCAAGCTTCTGTAGGACACAGAATCCATGTGACGCTGTACCCCTCAAGGATTTAAATTTACTGACAAGTCAATAAAAGTAAATTGTTCTTAAAAAGATAAAATGAGAAAAAGTTGAATTTCAGATAATATTCCTGGGCACCAAGTTTTTTACTAAGATTTAAGAAACAGGCCGACGGGAGAAATTCTCGTGGACAATAAAGCCAGCACCTGTAAACAGAAAATATACACTCCAAGCTTAATCTTGGCTTCCGAAACCCTAGCCACCAGCCCAGGAACTGTGCGGAGCAGCAGTCCTGGTTTCCAGCAAGGTCCGAGCATTTCAGTGAGCCCTTATGATTCATGCCTTAGCTTTGCAGCCCCACACAAATCCACCAGAACACACCTTAAGGTAACAACAACTTCCAGACCAGAATTCTTGATTTTCCAATTAACAATTCATTTTTCAGGCCCCTGACAGTTTGGCATGTGGGCATTCTCACAAGATTCTGAAGCTGTGAGGGGAGGTCCCTAATGAGGGCCCATCAATCAATATTTCCTCAGAAAGCAGAGGAGAGACACATGCAGGGAGATCTGGTTTAGCTGCCTGAACCCTAACCACAGCTCCTTTTAAGGGAGTGCCCCCAAAAGGCCTCTAGGGTTAATGTGGACAGACAGAGAAGGAAGCATTCCACTGCCATATAAAAATAACTTTAAATAAAAAGTGCATATGAAACATCGGCCACAGCAAGCAGAAAGTGCCCAAAATCATTAAGGAACTGCATCATGAACAGAGCAGGGAAAAATAAACACACAGGCGAGGAAAATGAGGGTGTGAAGGCCCCAGCAGCTCAAGCTCATACACCACAATTAAAACAATATAAGTGCAGCACAATGCACTCACTGCTGTAGTTAACAGCAGAGGCCTTCAAAACCTAGCCACAAAATATCCCCTCAGGCTGGAAGAAGCCTCACTCTACAATTTAAAACACTTCCTTCTGCCAATAAAAAAAAAAAGCTCTAGGGTTGGGGTAAGGCTATTCAGTGAAAGGTCGGTACCATTTACTATCTCATCCTGGACCTACAGAGATACATAATCACTTTGCCCACAGAATAGGAAAATGTTGCTTAGGCTAATGGAAAATCAAAATTTCCTTAAAATTCTTGAACTAAGGCCCTATTAACTCTGATATTAGTGATTGTTAGTAATCTTTCTAAAAAGAAAGAATAAGTGATAATAGTAACTGCAACTGCTCTCTGCTAAGCACTAACTGTAGGCTATGATAGGATTTAACTTGCACAATCTCACATACACCCCAGGTCAACGCTAGGAAACAGGTAACATCCTTTTTTCATTTTAAAAATTTATTTATGCACACAGAACTGGGGTACAGACCAGAGGTGCAGGGGTGGTGAGAGGATTCACCAGAGACAGTGGGGAGCAAAACAGGTAGACTGACGAAGTACACTACTGAGGGGAGCAGTGAGCGAGACAGGAGAGGTCTGCTGCACCATGTGGGTCACCTCCCTGGCCAGGGATCAAACTCGTGCTGAAGCAGCTACCCATAGCTTCGCAATACTGCATTCTAACCCGTGGCACCACCAGGGAGGGCCGGAAACAGATTATTTTATCCTCCCCAAATGATGCTCTGATGGCACAGAGGCCTATCTGCAATCACAGATGGGGAAGCAGCCAGGTCCAGTCTAGGCTATAGGGATTCCAGAGCCCAAATGTCCTATAACACATTTTAAACTTCTCCCTCAGTCAAACTTCTTCAACAGCTCACGAAGTACTTCTTCTAGTGTCTCACAAAAACTCCCAAAAAAACCAACGTGTTACATGACTGCTGAGTAAAGCTGCTGTGGCCAAACCAAAGGTGTCCATCCAGTCACACCCGCTCCTTCAGCAAAGGTCCTGAAGAGTGTGATGGCAGACTGAGCCACCTGCCTGAGCATTTCAGTCTTGGCATTCTGTTTCTTTATTTTCAAAACACGACACCTGAAGATCAAACCAGTTACCTGCTGGGTAACTTGGGCTCTGTGGAGACCAAGGGCAGTGCACTGTCAGTTTTCAGTATTTGTACAGGGTACTCTCGTGTGAAGGTCGCATTATTTAAAAGTCCTGCTAGATTAGTCCACTTTTCCCTTTAACTAATAACCTCCAGTTTCCTAAATAAACAGCAGAGCTGTTCCTAACAGCCTTAGAGTAGGCAGATATCCTGAGTCCACAGCCTTCCCTCCACTAAAATGCAGTTTATTGGTCCTTCCTGGTGGCGCAGCGGGTTAAAGCACAGCACTGAGAATCTAAAGCCACTTCCGCATGAGTTCGATTCCCGCCTGCCACGGAGGTGGACCCCCCACCCCCACCCCGCTGCTCCCCTCAGCAGTGTACTTCGTCAATCTGCCTGTTCTGTTACCCACTCTGTCTCTGGTGAAGCCTCTCACCGCCCCTGAGCCTCTGGCCTGTACCCCAGTTCTGTATGCACAAATAAATACATCTTTTAAAAAAAAAAAAGCAGTTTATTTCTACGAACATTCTAGCCATGCAACTCTCACCTAAACAGAATAGATGTGTACAATAAAATGACTTGTAGGTGGTGTTAAACGTTAGAAAAACATACCTATCATTTTATTATTAAACGAGAAAGATGCCTGCTGACAGTCAAAAAAAGGTCTCCAAGCAACTGAGAACCAGAGAAACTAAGCAAAGATTTTCTTTCTTCCAAGACGTGAAACTCATTCAGTCAAGAAAGATGATTTTGTCACTTATTATTCTCTAAAATGGAAAGTGCCACATGAGAGGGTAAACGGGCTACCCTGCATCTCTGAGCAGTGTTCTATGTGCCAAGTTACGAAGCCTGTGAATACAAGGGGTGTATTAATGGAAAGACTGATACCATCTTACTACAGTGGCCTCTCTGTAGCCGGGACAATGATCTGTTGAGGGTTTTCCAGTGATTTTGAATGTGCAACCTCCATACAAGCCCTCCCCGCCCCCCCACCCCACCCCAGGGGGCTGGCTCCAAGCTGAACAATCCCTCTCCGGAAAGAGCCAAAAAAGCCCCTATGCGGGCTTCTGGGCTTGAGGCTCAGACTTCAAGAGACAAAGAAGTAGGAGTGGTGGAGGAGCTGGGAGAGCTGGGATCCAGCCTGGGTCCACCTGCCTGGAGAGATCCATATCCAACTTATCCAAGTTTGATCCAGATCAAACTTTCAAGAAAAGAGTCAAAGGGCTGGGAGAGAGGACGCACACACTCCACCCATGCAAGGGTCAATCGGTTACTCCTGGAGCAAAGAGCACACTGGGATAGAGAAAGAACACCAGCACCGGCTGACACATGACTCCTAGGGGTTGGGGTGGCCTTCAACTTTCAAAAAGGTAGGTGGTGGTGGAGGGGGGTTAGTAGCTATTCGCCTCCAACCCCTGGGGGGTTGGGGAACACTGTCTCAAAAAAAAAAAAAAAAAAAAAAAAAACAGGAACCTTCCTGGGGCTCCGGAGACTAGGATACCAAGCAAAGCCAGCCACACTAGAACTGCCACATTCCCTTCTTCCACGAAGGGGGACAATTCTTAAGGAGAAAAGGGTCCTGTTTCCAGGCTTGGTCCACACACCAGAGAAGAGTCCCTTGGGAAAACTTCCAATTAAGTCAGAGCTAGGAAGCCCCCCCACACACACACACTGACACCGCCAGGATCCCTGACAAACAGACCCCTCAGATCTTAAAACTAGCTAATTCCTCCCAACCTCAAAAACCCTACCCTGCCTGCCCTAAAGCCCATCTCAGAACGACCTCTCAGACTCCTTACTCCAAAACCCTGGGTGCCCCAAGCCCTTCTCGGGACCCCCAATTCTCTCCTAAGCTTTCTATCCAGCCAGTTCACTCGGTTCCTCAAAACCTATTCCCACTCAGACTCCAGCAACTGCCGAGTCCCCAGCAAGCCTCCCAAAGCCTGCCCAAGCTTGCGCTCAACCCTTCCTCCCATCTCAATCGCCGCTAATCCTCGATTTCAGTCCCGCCACCCTTCTAGCCCCTTCTCGAGCCCCCAACCCGTTCCTCGCCCAGCAGACTCGGCCACAGCCCTTCCGTCCCCGATGCCCACTCCCGATTGGCGACTCCGGCTTCTTTCCAGCCTGGGTCCCGCCAACGCCAACCCAGGACGCGCCTGGCCCCCAGCCCGCCCCGACGCGCTGTGTGCGGCCGGCGCCGAGCGCCCACTGCTCGTCCCGGTCCGTTTCGCCAACTTGAGGCGGCGCCGCGCC